GCTAAAGCGGTTGCTGACAGAACGCTTACTTTTACTCACGGCAGACGTTGTAGGGAATATTGTAAACATAGAAAAGAAATGTCAAGTAGGAATTGCAGCGAATACTAGTATAGAAAAATAACATTACAATAATTAATGTGTGATAGAAAAAGATGCAGAATTTGAGCATGTTGTCAGCATCGGACTTTAAAGAAGGATCAACATTCTCAGGAATTTAGAAAAGAAAACACGGTTGTTTAAAGATATAATTTCAACCGTTGCACCGCTTACTGTTATTCGGTTATCTCTTTTCACTTTGTCTGTGGATACTATTCATGAAGCATTTTCTAACTTAACAAGGGCGTGTTTAAAACGCTGCAAATGAACATTGTGCCAAGTGGAGACAAGAAAGAAGATACATCCACTCTCTCAGATAATTTATAGCGGTCATTGTCAATGTTAATCGTTCCAACTAAGTATATACATCTTCAGATGGGTAGTGATATAGCGTAGTTCGTATTTGAATTGTAAATTCCTAGGCAGATTTTCACGACCATTATAATTGAAGTTGAATACTTCTGCACTAGTTAAATTAATAAGGGGTGGCGTTTAAAGTAATTTGAGTTGGATTGAACTTTGCGATTTTAAGGCTCATAGGTAATGTCAATAACCATAACGTACAGATATCTGTTATCGTGGACTTTTTTACAGGCATTTTTAAGCTCTACAACTTCTCCATAAAAGACATTCAGGTGTCTCTTACCATTAAGGCAGCATTCGTAAGAAACGCATTCGCTTGACCGTTTTTTCGTTGGTTTACGTTGCACAATTGGTCTTTACAAAAAACGCTTTCAAAAGAATGGTATATAGCCAATTTTCACCTTGAGGGTTCATTCCAAATACTGGTGAAAGATATTTTTGAAATCAAATATGGAAACTTTAATTTTTTTAGTTCTCACCGGTTAGTAATGTTGGTAAGGAAGGTTTAATTGCAAAAATTCGTAGATACCGATGTTCGGTTGTCCGTTTGGTTAGTTTTGGATCGCAAATTGAATTAGGCTGACTTTCAAAGAAACTTGTTTTCTCTTTGCATTGTAGCCTTATGATCATAAGCAAATGCGTCAAAGAAGTAAGCTAGCGTTTAAACAATCAGGCCCCTCTTTTCCATTGGGTACTCTGGGCAAGTGTCCAGCGCCCTACGATCAACGGAGGCCCCCTGTATAGTTCCTGCCAGATTCATCCGCTAACCAAAAGCCGTTAATTATTTTAAGAAAATTAATCAATAATTGCTGTTAGAATATTTACTTGCATAATCGCTTTTGCATGCTATATACGCGAGCATACCTAAATGTAGGTGATTCTTCAAACATTTATATATTCTGAAATTTTATTACTTCGAATTGCTCCCCAATGAGAAAAATACAGAATCTGACAACAAGGACTTGTCTCAAAGAATAAGACTTAGAAGTTCGCGCCAGACATCTTTTGATGACTCTGCACCGATAGTCCAACTGAGTTGGGAAGAGATATTAAAGTAGAAATACTTTACTTCTCATAAGTAATACCCCAAACGTGCATCTAAAACAGCGATTGAGTTTGTACAAGGACATTGGTTATTGTTGACATTGTTTTCCGCTTGAAAACTCCAAATCCCGAGAAAAAATTGCAAAGAATTTGCTGCTATGAAGATGTTAACGAGAAAGAGTTAGAAATAGAATGTCTGTATTTGGCAAACTAATAGTATTTCAGAAGTTTTGATAAACAACCGAATTGAAGACACATTTCCAAATGTAGAAATTGCATTGAGAATCTTTTTAAACATGATGGTAATTAACTGTAGTGACGAACGCTCCTTTTTTAAACGGAAAAGAATAAAAAATAAGTTAAGACGAACAATACTTTAAGAAAGATTGATTAGTCCATAGAATGGGATATACTCGAAGACAAAGAGTTTGAACAACTGGTTGACGATTTTGCATATCTGAAAACTAGAAGGGTGCCTTTTCAAAAAACATAATTTTGCAGCAACCTGAGAATGATAGAATATTTTTCCGAGTCATATTACAATGTAGGGGCCCCGGTAAGGCTTCTGTACCCAGGGCCTTCAATAGGTTAAAAACAGCCGTGTAAACAATAAATTAACAAATTAAGAAAGAAAAGGTTTCACATCGGCCGTGAATAACATCCGGACCTACAGTGTACCAACTAACGATCCGTACCACTGAACTATCATCGTGTATTTCTAGTGTTACGTAATATGCATAAATTCTTTTTTGGTCACTGGTACAAAGTTCGTAAATCTAAATTATTTATTTAAAACTGCAACAACACCTACTTAATCATAATCAAGTCAAGAAGTCGAACGTCGGGAGTCGAATTCAAGATTACGAAGATGAAGGGCATGGTAAGACGGCTTACCACCTTCACTCGCCCTGCGATAGTTCCTTGTCATTTATACGTTTCCCAACTAGGCTATTCTAAATTATAGAACTCACTTTTAATATTATGTTAAAGTATATATAAAATTGTCTCATTGTGACAGCCCGCAAATAAATAAACGGGTAATTTGCTTTTTATCGATACACGGTGGAGGCGCCGGGCAATTATATGTATTAGAGACTCCCTCTAACTGAGGATAATACCTTGGGTTATATTAGGTTAGGTTACTTCGTTAATTATTTAGCAATAGGATATATAATAACTACTTTAATATAATATTGAAAGTGAATGATATAATTTAGATGACTATAGTTTATTAATAATTTAATAATAATATAATATTAACACAGGTCTGCGATAAAAAGGTTTTTGCATAAATATATCTTAAGCATGTAAATGTTGGTCTGTATTTTGCAAATATAAACTTTGTTTTAACGTATCACGTCACATTTTTTTTGTATGTATATGTATACATACAGCTCTTTGAATCAGCAAATTTATTTGTTTTTTTACAAAATTCATTTTATAGCTTATATTTCTATTTAATACTCTCTGACTGAGTATTATATTGTCTTTTACTTTATTTTAGATAGTTTGAAAGTAACTAATAGTAGTTTACACCGCCTGAAAAAAACAAATAATTTATAGCGCGCCATTATTGACAGAGATATAATATTAACGTGTAATAAAAGATTGTGTTCCATTTTTCTTTAACTATGGCTTCTCGGAGTTGTAAAAACAATTCAAATGTATTTTTTTACATTTGCGGACAATATACAATAGTTAAGCAAAGAATGAATATAACAGACCTTGTAAAAAATGCTTATTAAGCTTACTATATTACTCAGAATGAAGTTGTCACCGAGATAAACACTGGGTTACGATAAAATATGCCGGTTATGTGTTGAAGTGTTAAGACATTGGACTTATGGTAAATCAAAATCATTGTTATTCGGTATTTCTATGTCAAAGTTAGAATGCAATTGGAAGTCGGAGTGAAAAATGTCATCAATACGAGTTTGAAAGAAGAAAGTATTGCTTCCACCACTTTACATTAAACATGGTTTGATCAAACAGTTTGTAAAAGCATTTCGACTTGACCAACGGTGATTATTTCATGTTTAGATATCGAGGTCATGATTTATATAGGTTTTAAGCATATAAAAAGATCGTAAGGATACAAAAAATTACTTTCAATTCAAAAATCACCTTTTTTTGTTTATTTTCGATCTTTCCATGCTTTAATATTGTCGGAGGTATTTTTAACCAACACCATCGAAAAGAGCATCGTTAAAAACATAGAAACACTGGTTATTGAATATTTTTTCGTCGCACTCATTACGTGACAAGGGTTAAAATAGAAATGTGTTCTCTGAGCATTTATGGGTTAATGTGACGTGGTTTAAACCATATGAATATCGTTTTCTATTACTTTTAAGACAATTACGACAAATATCAACAATCTAAGAAAAAAACTTTTCAAAAAAAAAATTTCGCAGACCTGTGTAATCATAGCCTACTTTATTAGATAATTAGTAAATGTAGAAATAGCAAGGAACTATCACCAGGGTGAGCGAAGACGGTACGGTTTTACCACACTGCATCTTCCTGATCATAAATTTGACTCCCGACTCTGGACTTCTTGACTTGATTACGATTGTTATTGATACCGTTATTTACACGATTGCTAATTGACTTACTAACACAGTAGATAAGTAGGTGTTAGTTTGCAGTTTTAAATAAATAATTTAGATGTACCATCTTTGTACCAGTGACCTAAATATGAATTTATGGATGCTATGTAACAATAGTACATGTGTACAACAGGATCTATCTACTTACATAACCATTACATAACTACCAATCATCACCACAGATGAGAAATAGTTAATGATAATCAACTTACCTCAGAAGCGGAAAGTGGAAAGCCCCTTTCAGCCTGCTGTCAAAAATTGTTGAAATGGGTGGGTGGTAGTTCAGGAGAGACAGATAAGATAGACAAAATGGAGGCGGATGATAAGCAACAAATTACATGAGGAATATTGCTGCCCCCAGTATTTACCACAATAATCTAAGGAATCCACGAAGAACTTGATCTAGGGCAAGTGGACCTAGAATCGAATCAACGAAGAACGAACGAATTTATTAATTATTATAAGTTAGTTTTAAGTTAAATCACCAAAGATAACTAAATAGGTGGAAATAAAAGTTAGCCCTTCTGTGTAGAACAATTGATTATGTTTTTTTTACATAATTCAAGTACACATATGCTGAAATTCAGTTGTAATTGAAATTCAATTCAACATCCATTACATGCTGTAATTTTTTAGACAAACAACTGTCAAGAAGATCGCTTAGTTATTTCACCTAGTGGATCGAATAACTTTAAAGGTGATATTCGCAGTTTTTGTGGAAAAGGAAGTTTAAGCAGCGTCTCAGATAGTAATAAAATAACATTGGGTAAGAATACATTTATGGATGTTCAAGTATGGTTAATTTGATTATTACACAATTCATTTGTTTATTTTAAAGGCCTGTTTGCAACACGGAGATCTTTGGGAGGACGATTCCTCTGCACAACGATGGCAATAGCTACTTCTTACAATATAACACAAACGTCACCATTACTGTCGTGTGATTGTGGATGGCATCAAAGGGTAACTCATGCACAATTAAAAAAAATAATTATAATTATTAAATGTAGGTTTATTCCGATTACTAAAACACAATGATTATGTCTGTAACATTTTGGTTTCTTTTGTTGTATTATTTGAAATGCATGTTCAATATTCGAGAAAAAGACTCAAACCACTGTTTGTTTAGTTTATAAGATAGTCTAGTCGAATTTTCAGCAGTAAAATTGTCAACTAAATAAAAATTGCACTGACTTATAACACTGATATGTTGACCTAGTTCTAATGACTTCGACTATCTATATACATACGTAATACAAGTCTACAATGTTAAAAGAATAAAGAACTGCTTTAGATTGGCTGTAAACATGAATATCGTCAATCACACTTGATGGGATTACTTCTACCCATTTAGCAGCAGATTGAATGTGGTGTTGCAATATCGTATTTCCTAAGTGCACCTACCAGGACTGGAGTGACCCTTCCTTGTACTTTTAAATGAGCTTTTCTCGGAAACGGTGGACTTTTGGACCATCATCAGTCCTAAGACAGGTTGACCACGCACCCTCACTCTTTCCTATCCTGAGCTAATCTTCGCATTTCCCTAAAACTGGAACAACTCACATCCTTAACCATTTGCGAACAGTAATCTAATCCAGATCTACTTCTACCCCTCCTAACTCCCGTTTATGCCTCTAATATGTCTGTGATTAGACCTTCATGCTGAGAAGGTATCCTATTAACCTATCTTGCCTATTTATTATTGACTTCAGTAGAGTCCTCTGTCCTCCTATTCTTTCTAATACCTCTTCATTTCTAACCTTCTCTATACAAAATTCGAACGCTTCTAACCTTTTCCGCCGCGCCCACCGTCCATGTTTCGCAACCGTACAGCGTCGTGCTCCAAACATACCCCTTCAACAACCTTTTCCGAATTTCTAAATTAACCGTTCGCGAGCATAGAAGTGACTTCTTTTTATTGAAGGCGATTCGACCCCCCGCAATCCTGACTTGTCTGACTTCCTAGATTCCTAAAATTAGCCACTTCTTCTAATTTTTCGTCTTTTATCTTTATATTCTTTCTTTCCTTACTTTTTCTTCCCTTGCATACCAGTATTTTTGTTTTACTTTTATTTATTTTCATATTTTCATATTTCAGTACTGTTTTGTCAGTATCGCTTCCATTTTATTTAAAGCTAACATTGCTAGATGCTAATACTACTATAATATCTGCAAATCTAATCATACTAATCTTTTCCCCTCTCCCTACAGTTGTACTGTCTTTAATGATGTTGATCACGTCTTCGATGTATAGATTAAAAGGTAGTGGTGACAGTGTGCATCCCTGTCTGACTCCCTTCCTAATATTTACTTCTCTACGTTGCAGCCCCAGTTCTGTAACGGTCTATTGCTCTTTATACGAACTAAGTATCACTGTTCTATCTTTGTAACTCATCCTTACATTTTTAAGTATATTTAACATCTTCTCCCATTTAACATTGTCAAAAGCTCTTTCTAAATCTAAAAATCCTGCGTACGCACTCTATCGTTTTCTCTATTGTTATTGATACCCGTAAATCTAGAATGACCTCTCGTGTTCCTCTATTTCTTCTAAACATAAATTGATCTTCCCCTAGTACTTCTTCCGCCCTTTTTCCATTCTCCTCTGTACAATTCTAGTTAAGATCTTTGACGCATGGGAAGTTAAGCTAATTGTTCTAAATGTCTCGCACCTATCTGCGCCTCTCTTTTTAGGTATAGTTACCAGGGGCGCAACAACGTTACAGTTTGACTGGGTGCTCTCCTCATAATACTATAATAAATGACTAAAAAAAAAGACCAATGTATTGAATTTCTTATACTTGAATCGAGTTCGGCTGCTCATTGACGAGCTTGAACTATTTGAACCGAACTTTCAAGTTGGGTTATTAGGGTTATTATATGAAACGACTGGAATTGACCGGGTGCCCACGTTCCGTTTATAATTCTTTGGGGCTTTCTCCGTCTCGAAAATGTGACTAACTAGCTTATTAGACATACGATCTCTAACCAATTGTCCTGCATGTTTTAGAATTTCCTCCTGTATCCCATCAACACCTGGTGCCTTATTATTTCTTAAGTTTTTTAATGCTGCATCGAACTCTTCTCTCATTATGGGATAACCTAGTTCATCTATCTCCACACTATCTTCCTTCTCTAATATATCTCCTAACTCATGGCCTGCGTATAGGTTCTCTAAATATTCTTTCCACCTATCTGCCTTTTCCTCATTTTCCATTAAAATGGCCCCTAGCTCGTTTCTTATATTATTACTACTGTATCCTACATCTCTAAAATTCCTTTTAATTATATTATGAGCCTCATCGGTTTTACCTACTTTAAACTTTTCTTCTACTTCTTTACACCTCCTATCAATCCACTGTTCCTTAGCTGCCCTACATTTCCTAATTACTTTCCACTTTATAACCTTATATCTTTTTTGCCCTCTTTTTCTGTCATGTTTTCGGACCATTAAACATTTATTTAATTTACTTGTTTTATAGTGCCCTATTGCACTTTTACAAAACATAAAAAATGATAAAAACCTATGGATTGAATTCAACAACAGTTGGTTATACAGACAATAAAGTCTATACGACGTTCAGAAAGATTCTTCATAGTGGTGTCGCGTAATGTAGGCACAGATGACGATTTTATTTTTGGTCTTTCTACACTCTCCCCTTTAATATTTCGCGCACGGTACTCCGATGCTGTACAGGACAAAACCAAAGGTTCAGGGTTCTTCATAGGTCTACCTCTCTTCTTTATATGTGTCAAAGAAATTACTCGCTCGCTAACAAAGTCAGGTATTGTGTTTGTTGATAATATTACGAATACTCGTTATATGAGTATCCCTAAGATGCAGATATTGCTATAGTTGTTTGTCAAGTTCCCTGTTCTTTCGCTGAACAGGATAATTCTCGTACTGCTTATTTCAAAGCATAAAGTGCCTAACCATCCGCATAATGTCGCTTATGAGTTGACTTCATTGTCGGAAACCATTTTATTTGGTATGCGAAATATGAGAATGATTGGATTTCTAAGGACTTTAGCCAAATAAATCCTTAATAGAATTATTTCAATCCATTTAGAAGCTATATTTTTTATGATTAATATCCATGACTCATCTTGAGGAGTTGTCGGTAATGAATCAAATAGGTCAATGGAAATAACGTCACAACTATCTGAAAGGCTATAGTATTGCAAAAGTCTTTTTCGCTTTTTATTATCATTAAGACCTCAAGTATCTCCTCTTCAATGTAGGACCTGGTCGAATTTTAACCTACGAGGGTGGATTGATAAGTTTCCGGCCTGACCAAGAAAAACAAGGTTTTTAAAAATTTTTTTTTTTTATTTCTCAACATAATCTCCTCCAAGGCTGATACATTTCTCATAGCGGTGTTCCAGTCTATTAATGCCATCTCTATAGACTGATTCGTCAAGCTCCTCAAAATAACCATTTACAGCTTCGATTACTTCTTCATTGTCCGCAAATCTCTTACCGCCAAGCCATTTTTTGAGATTAGGGAACAGAAAATAGTCACTCGGGGCTAGGTCTGGAGAGTAAGGAGGGTGCGGCATCAATTCAAACTTTAGATCGTTGATTTTAGCCGTCGCAACGATTGACGTGTGCGCTGGTGCGTTATCGTGATGAAACAAGATTTTTTTCTTCGCCAGATGAGGTCGTTTAATTTTCACCTCGTGGCTCAAACGTTGCAATAAGTCTGCGTAGTATTGACCAGTGATAGTATTACCCTTTGCAAGGTAATCAATGTATATAATACCTCTTGCATCCCAAAAAACAGTAGCCATAACCTTGTTCGCCGAAAAAATTGTTTTTGCCTTCTTTGGAGTTGGTTCCCCTGGTCCAATCCACTGTTTAGACTGTTCTTTGGTTTCAGGAGTGTAGTGGTGGACCCACGTTTCGTCAACGGTTACGAATCGACGCAAAAATTCGCTTGGATTACGCTTATACAATGACAAATTTGCGGTAGAAATGTTTTTTCGAATCAATTTTTGGTCGACTGTTAGCAAACGCGGCACCCATCTTGCACAGAGCTTTTCCATATGCAAATGTTGGTGCAAAATATGTTGCACACGTTCATATGACATCTTACAGGTCTCAGCTATCTCACGCACTTTCAATCTGCGGTCTCCCAGCACTATTTGATGAATTTTTTCGATCATATCTGGAGTTGTGACCTCAACGGGGCGTCCTGAGCGAGGCCCATCAGAGGTGCTCACACGACCCTTTTTAAACTCGGAAACCCACTGCTTAACGGTTGAATATGACGGGGAGGATGTCCCCAGTGTTGAGTCCATCTCTTTTTTAATTTCCTTCGGCGTTAACCCCTTCAAATAAAAGTATTTGATGACAGCACGATTTTCCTGCTTTTCCATTTTTACGAAAACCACAGAGGCGTCTTGTTCAGCGTGCTGTCAAACCTACACTAGCAAGGAGATCGGGCTGAAACTATAGCTACAAGCTATCCAAGGATGGTACTATAGAATGTCACCTCAAGGTAGGCCTAGTGGCGTCATCTCTTGGTTAGGCCGGAAACTTATCAATCCACCCTCGTATTTTAAGTAAACTAAATTTTCCTTCGTTAGAAGCCACCGCAAAGCTTGCAATGAATATTAACTTATAAAGGCGAAAAGCTTCCCCAATAGCTATTTTATATTTAGCAGCTACTTTCGTGATGCCTTACATAGAGGAACATATATCAAATAATATCTCTAACTTCGTAAGAAGCGCTTATAACTGTGGGATATGATCAGATGGATACAACAGAATCAATTTGTCAGTATTTGTAATGTTCTTTTTGTGTTTGAGTTTGTGAGAATATTTGATATTGAATTCAAACGTTCTACAACCATTTTGAGTTTATCTTGTAAAAAGTATGTAATTTTATCTTAAACACTTAAAAATTCTTAACTCTTTTTTCTATAAATCATTGATCAAAGCTCGCTGCATTGGACTCAGTTATCAATTGCATATACAATGGTCAAGTCTTCCTTTCCTCTTGTTGTTTTATATTATATATTTAAATACAAATGTGTATGCCTTTTTTATAAGGCGGTTCCTTTTTATTAGAACAAAAACCTTGGTATTTTACGTACCGTATTGATGTATCAGTGTATACGATAAAATGTTTCTAGTAACCGATTTACTATGGGGTATTTGACTCGAAATATTGACCAGAAGTCCGATTTCTTGATGATACCGTAATGGCAATTTCTGCTACCTGCCAGAGTTAAGTGAACACCGAAATAATGACCAATATTACGCTGTAAAAATTCTTGTGTGTAAATCTATCTACATATTGTATATAATAGAAAGTCGTCTTAGTTACACTATTTATAACTCAAGAACGGCTGAACTGATTTGGCTGAAAATTGGTGGGAAGGTAGCTTAGAACCTGGAATCGGACATAGGATACTTTCTATCCCGTTCCGTGGAAAAAAAGTGGTATAAGAAAACGCAACTGACATGGAATGACAAAACGTAACTGATAGCAAAACGAACAATTTATTATTCAAAACATTAGTCTAGCCGTTCATTTGTTAAAAATGGTATAACAAAACGCAACTGATAGCTAAACGTAATGTTGTCTATGGCTATGTATGGTGTTTTATTTATAGTCAGATTTACCTGAAACTTGGCTTTAATGCTTTTTTATATAAAATTAGTGACATAAATACCTATTTCAACATTTTACAAAATTCTACCTGTTTAGAAATCTGAAATGGGTTTGCAAAGATTGTATGTTTGCTTTTGGCCCGATTTACTGAAACTCTGTTGGGGGGGAGAGTGGTGAAGAGGAGTTACAATGTTTAAATATACCTATATTATTTGTGGTCAGATTTACCTGAAACATGGTCTTAATGGTCTCTCATTTAATTTGTGAAAGACCTATCTCTACATTTTAAAAAATTCAACCTCCAAAGGGGGGGAGGGTAAAAAGGTGTTGCAATTTTTGTTTGGGACATACTTTATCTGTGGTTGAATTTACTTGAAACTTGGTATATATGCTGTTTGATATTATTAATCAAATGAAAAGAGGTTGCATCGTTTGCATGGGGTATATTTTATTTGTACTCCGATTTACTCGAAGGTAGCTCATTGTTGAAATTAAGCAGATACGTGTTTTGACAAATTTTTAAAAATCAACTCATAAGGATGAAATGTTGTTTCTACGTTTGTATTTGAAATCTAAGATGGCGACATTACATAAAATTAAAACGTTGTAAAAGGTTTTATGGAGAAACAATATTAATTTCTACGACCGAAGCCGCGGGGAAGAGCTAGTAAATAATATAATTAGTATGTCCTGCCGGAACTGTCCACGACGTGCTGACGAGACTCAAGAGGGTCGAAATCGCGACCCACATTTAAAAATTTATTTTCGACAGAATGCTGATCACTAAATGAAGTCAACTTTTTGTTCTGTTTGGTTACTTGCTCAGCACAAAGGGTTAGCTACGCCGGGCATTCAGTGCTTCAATTCCATTAAAATGTAGTAATAGCCATTTGTAGTAATTCAAATAATTAGTAATTTTCTAGTTTTAAAAATATAAGAAAATTTTGAGTCTGAGTATATTAACGTTTCATTATTTTTGGTAGCCACGTATTGTGAACGGAACCAACACTGGCGTGAACGAATTTCCTGCGATGGCTGGTTTAATAGATTTACTTAGAAGAGAATTAACTTGTGGGATCACCATCATTTCAAAGAAATACCTTGTGACAGCAGCGCACTGCTTTATATCTGATTCAGAAGCTCGACATTATGCAGTTTTAGTCGGCGATCATGACATTTCAACAGGTATTGTTTTGAATTACAATTAGAACAAGGAATATTAAAATATATTTTTCAGGTGAAGATACGGAGTATTCAAAGCTATATCAGGCTGATAAGTTAAAAATTCATCCAAAATATAATTCCAATACTAAAGAAAATGATATTGCTATAGTGAAAACTCGCCAGTCAATAGAATTTAGTTTCGCCGTTGGGCCCATTTGCCTGCCTTTTAGATATTCCTTTCGCACATTCGTTGGTGCTAATGTGATAGCCCTAGGTTAGTAAATTTATTTTTAGTTCTCATATTTACTTATGACATATTATATGGTATTATTACATCATGAACTTCTTGAGAAATGTTAACCCCCAAAGCAACAGCATTCCTTAGTAACATTCAGAATAAGTACAGGTTTCGGCAATGAAACGGGAAGATTTCGTAAATAATTTTATTGTTGAAACAATATTTTTTTGTAATCATTAATACATTAATGGGAAAGAAAAGACTAGCCATTTGATATACAATGTTACAAAAAATTATTTTTTGAAAACTACATCTGCCAAATGTCCTCCGTTGACACCTATGCATTCATGGAGTCGAGCCTGAAAGTTCTGCATAAATCTTCGCAGCCTATCAACAGGTATTGCTGCAATCTCGCCACGAATTCGTTGTTTGAGGGCCGGGATTATCCTGGGTGGATCAGTTCCAAACACTTTCGTTTTCAGATAACCCCATAAAAAGAAGTTGCAGACAGTAAGGTCGGGAGACCGAGGGGGCCAAGCGATATATCCATTTCGAGAAACGACACGCCCTGGGAACAATGCATTCACAGCATTCATTGAAATTCTTGCAGTGTGGCTTGTTGCACCGTCTTGTTGAAAAAGTGTGTTTTCATTAACTGGAAAGCGGTGAAGTTGAGGTGTGAGGAAGTTCCGAATCATTGCAACGTAGGTATCTCTCAGAATTAACGGTAACGGCATTTTCAGCCTCATCCTCAAAAAAATACGGATGATTCCATTTGCCGACATTGCACACCATACTGTCACTTTCTGAGCATGAAGAGGTGTTTCATACAGCAAACGAGGGTTCTCTTTCGCCCAGTACCTGAAATTTTGTTTGTTAAAAAAAACCGGAGAGTTGTTAACTTGGTCACCATTTTCTTCCAACCTCACAAAATCTGAGACGCTGTTGATAATCATCCGGGTGAAGAGGTTGAACAACCTGTATTTTATACGGGAGATATCGAAGATCTTGATGGAGTATCCTTCTCACCGATCTGTCACTTATTCGAAGGCGTGTGGCGTGACGGATGGCCGATCGACGTGGACTTCTTAACATTGCTTGTCGAACAAGTTCGATATTTTCAGGGGTTCGAATCGTTCTGGCACTACCACCTCTTTTTCTAGACGTCGATCCAGTTGGCTCAAAGTAGTTTACCCATATTTTAATCGCATTGACTGATGGAACAGGTTGGTAACGTGGTATGTTAAAATGCAGTCGAAAATCCCGACGCGTTTGTACTAAACTCTCGCCATTTTGATAATAAGCCTTAATTGCGTAACCACGATGCTCACCCGTCCAACGCTCCATTGTAGACTAAATGGCAAGCCACTCGGGTCCCGGCAGGCCTGTGATTGTCTTAGCAACGACTTCAAAGCGCCCTGCAAGCCGCACCCCAAATCTTCCCGTTTCATTGCCGAACCCTGTACAATCTGTGGTTGCTTGTGACAAGAAAGAGCTATTTTAAATATTTAATGCACAATTTTATTTTTTATAGGATGGGGACAGTTGTTTTTTGGAGGTCCTAAAGCAGATATTCTACAAAAAGTGAATTTGACAGTAGTGTCTAATGCTTTTTGTCAGCAAGAAGTTACGGATAACCGAATATACAGTTCCGAGATGTGTACGTACTCCCTTTATAAAGATTCATGTATGGGTGATTCAGGTGGACCAATTTTGTGGTATGACGACACAATGTTAAGTTCGCAAAGATTATTTTTACTTGGGGTCATTTCTTTTGGATCGGCTTGTGCGAATGAGATTCCTGCAGTAAATACAAGAATTACATCATACCTGGCATGGATTGTATCTGAAACCAGTGGTAAATATCTGAAGTTCTTAATTATATTAAATTCTCTTTCTGTGGCCTTAGGAAAATTAGGATTTAACTATATTTTTCATTATCAATACAGTGAAATTCAGAATTCCAGATTTACACCTCAATAATTCATTTGTTGACGCCACTTAGTTTTCGGTGACACGGGACATTTGTAAGCCCAGAAGTACTAAGTTTACTGTAAGAAAGATTCAAAAGAGCCTATGAAATTCAGTAGATTTTTTATTTCTATTAAAAACAACACAAAATAAATAGTTCATTTTTTTCAATATTAGGTTTGTATTTTCAGGATACATTTTACCTACAGGAAAATACTCGCTCTTTGTTGCAAAATAATTATTTTCATCATCCACGTTATTTTTTTTGGGTGTGTATTCTAGATATTTAAAACTTCTAACCCTTTCGATATCTTTATTTCATTAAGCTTATAATTTTTACCGTAAAAAGTTGTCATTTTCATATTAATACATACAGCGTTTGAAGTTATTATCACGTAATCAAACCCTTTTTTGACTATTAACTAATTTATTTAACTACTAGCCATAATTTGTCGCCTTCATTAAACTTAAGCAAAATCGGCTCGTCTATAGTATCTGATCTTAATGCGGCGACTTTCAAATCGCGGTTTCGTATGCGCAGCATTATGGATGGTTTCTAGTCGTTCTTGAAATTTCACACGTATCTGTGGATGTGAAGGCGTAGCCCTCGTTTTTGTGATTCCCATTAGTTCAGTGACCTTCTTGTACAAAGATGATTCGAAATTCCTGTCTTGGTTGGAATGAAATTCCATTGGTAGGTACTCCTTCTTGACCAATCTAACTGTTGGACACTTTGTCTGCTTGCTGGTTTGGTGTTGGGTTACTTGTTAAAGTAATCTCTGACGACCGAAGTATACCGGTTATCAGTGTTGGTAGTTGTGAATGGTTCTGCTACGTTTACTGCGATTATCTCACATGTTGTACTGCTGCTTTTGTCCACATCTGGTCTTCGCCCTCTTTCTGACAGTGCAGGTTGGGTATTCCTTTCACCAGTCTTCCATGTTATTTCCACTTCATAGCTAATAAAATCGCTGACATACCGTCCCCAGTGCCTTCTTAATGGCAAGATGTCTTTCAATACAAATTACATATAAGACTTCTGAAACTTTGTTCTTCAGAAGTACCACTTGAAGCTTATTTCTAGTTCCATCCAGACTTTCCCACATTCTTTTTAAAATGCAGTAGGTAAAAGAATTCCACTGGACCCAATAATGTTGTCATAATGTTGTCTGACTTAAGTGGTTCACATCTGCCCACGATGGTCTTGTGATTACGGATGCTTTCCATTTTATTATTAAAACATTCTGATTTATAAGCTAAAAGGAATAGCGGCATGTGTTGGTTCTAGTCAGTTTAGTGCTTGTTGACGAAGTCTTTTAAGTTGGTCTTTAGAGTAGGGTTCAACCATTCCATCAGACTGTGGATGTAGGGGCGTAGTCCTTTAATTTAATGACTTTCTTGAACAAAGCCGATTGGACGCTCCTGCCTTGGTACACCATAGAAATAATGGAGATACGAATTGAAGAAATAAAAAAATAAATTGAAAAGCTAATAATACCCGTTATTGCAAAGAATGGCGATTTCGGTGCAAGGCCAGTTTTTGATGAGTAGAGATAGTAGTAGATGAGTAGTGATCCGTTCACCTAAAACAGTTTGGAGCAGTAGTAAATGCAAACGCATGGAACAATTCAGAAAAGGGCAACAGCACTAATATTAGCTTAACTGATCCAACGGGACTTGAACTTTGACGAAGCTCTGGTACAAATTTGAGTGGATGGATTGATTTGCACGTTTAAATGATTTAGGGAGCAGCACCGTAGGTTCAACCGTGATGAGGGGAGGGGGAGTATAATGAGAAACCAGAAAGAGGGCAGCAGCTTTTTCAGTACTCAGTGTGACAGAGATGATAAGGAACATGACATAATACTCTGATACATAATAGTGCGAGATGGAAGGCAACTAGAAAATATCACATTAGTAAAATAGATCCCAATTTGGATGTCCGATGGAGATTACATCGGGGTATGTCATCAAGAAGTGAAAATCAAAGCGTGGAATATTAGAACGAGGAGGCAAGCAGAGAAGTTAGAAAATTTAAAAGCTGGAGACTTCTGGAGTGGAGACTTGAGATTATTACATACAGGATCGGTAGAAGGTAATTAAGGGATATGAATTGTAATGCGTAAGAAAGCAGAACAGAGTGTAGAAAGTTATTTATAGAAATGCGATAGGATACTAAGAATAAATTAAATTTGAAATCGGTAAAAACTGTAATAGTGCAGAAGACATGTTAAGTTTAGTGAAAGGGCAGGAAACCCTAATAGTTGCAGGAGACTTCAACACTGTAAAAGGGGTAAGCAAATAAGGTGTAATAACAGGTTTTTTTGGATTAAACAATAGAAACGATAGGGGAGTTACAGAATTTTAGGATAAACATCACGTCACCGTTGCGAATACTTTATTATGAAGAGAGGGAAGGTAGAAAGCGTCTTGACTTGGGAAAACTAAAATGCAACGAAACGCGTGATAGGCTAGGTAGTAGGACAGACGAAATACTAAATGAGGCAAAAGAAACGAATAATAGGGACGTAGAGAGACAGTGGATCTCCATTAAAACTTGTCTAGATTCCGTAGTTAGAGACATATTAGGTCTTAAACAAAATGAAAGTAGGAAATCCTGAATAGCAAACGAGACTGTAGGATTAATCGAAGAAAGGCGGAAATACAAGAACAGAATAGGCTAAGAGAAGTTTAGGCGAGGTAGTCTAGTTGGCCACATTTACGAGACGGGGAATGCCTTGGAGGAGTGTAACCGGAACATAGTAGTATCCATACTAATAGAAAGAGGTGCCGATAGACACGAGAAATTTAGAATAATTATCGTAATTTCTCATGCGTCAAAAATCTTAACTAGAATTGTACTGAGAACGATAAAAAAAGAGCGGAAGAATTATTAGGGGAAACCCAATTTGGGTTTAGATGGAATAGAGAAACGCGGGAGGCGATTTTAGTTTTACGGGTAACAATAGAAAAAACGATAGAAATGGGAAAAAGCGTGTACACAGAATTTGTACATTGAGAAGAAGCTTTTGACAGCGTTAAATAGATCAAGATCTTAAATATACTTAAAAATTTACGTATGAGCTAGAAGAATGATTTATATAAAGAGTTACCTGTTGCCTTATATAACTTGAGCAGCAACGTAGAAAAGTGGATACCATAGATCAGACAGGGATACGCACTGACACCGCGACTTTTAATGTATACCTTGAAGACATTGATATACATGGGCAAAAGGTGCTTAGATTTGCAGATGATTTAGTAGTATTGCATCTGATAAGGAAGAAACAGCCTTATATCAAGTGGAAGTGGTATTAACAAGGCAGTATGGTATGAAAAAAAATAAAAGTAAAACAAAAATTTTGGCCTGCAAGGAAAGATAAAGTAGAAAAAGTGTGAATATAAGGATAGGAGAGGAAAAAGAAGTGACTGATTTTCGGTATTTAGGAAATCAGATAATTCAGGATGGAAAGGACAGTCGCGATATAAAACAAAGCATAGTGTAGGGCACAGTCGTCTTTAACAAAAAGGAGGTAGAGAATGTTAGAAATAAGGAGATATTAGAAAGAGTAGGAGAATAGAGGCCGCTATGGGAGACAATAAGGAATAGGCGGGATAGATTGGTAGGACATTTTATTAAGCATGAAGACATACTTAAATCAGGAACAGGTGTTAAGAGGAGTAGATATAGATCTAGATTAGATTAGGACTGACGACCGTATGATGATAATGTTGATGAGGAAAGGTACTAGATATACCTACTCCAAGGCATGTTTCATTAATATGACCTCCATTATGTTGCTACTTGCGTAGAAATGATGTATAGCGATCAACATTTACAACAGGTTATGAAGTGCAACTGAAAATCGTAACCAACGAAGTAACAAGACTTTTCAATAATTTGGGTCTCATTTGAAGGGCCACGTAAGTTAAGCTTACTCCAGTGTCCCTCAGTATTTTATAGACTAACTGATAGAGTAAACATTTGTCAGCGACAGCGAACTGCAGTAAAACCTTAGACTAGCACACCATTGTCAGATGCTTTGGACTTTGAAGCGACGAACCAAGCCTTAAATGGTTATGTATGGATGCAACAAGCAGAAATTGACAACGGTAAAATTATAGAAGAATGTCTAGTGTTGTTTATAAATGAATGCATAATGGATGCGAAAATAGCTACTGTTACAGACACGGGAGACTGAAATCTAAAATGCTGAGAATGTTGATAGTAACTTGAGACTTCAAGAACTACAGCGGCCGTCTGAAATGTAGAGCTGGTCAAAACCGAAGTCAGCCAACTTTATGGGGTGAAAGTTGGCTCTACTTTACCAAGTAACCGAAGAAGTCATCGTCTCAACACTGGATGGAACCAATTCTTGTTCATGCAAGGCACCATTATGTTAGAATAGTTGTCGACACATGAGCATCGGAATAGCAAAGTAGCCACAATAATGCAACGTTGAAATTAGAATTGGAAATGCTGACTTGTGTAGTTGACACTGGCGGCCAACATAGTTGATGATAGATGTCACCATTGGATTGTACCTTCTCCAACAAAATGTAATCCTATAGGAAAATTGAGTAGGCACTACTAAACCATTCCGAGATCATTGCAACGGTCCGAATAAATATTGACATCGACCGCGGTGGCAATTGAACCATCACCGACATTACTTCCTGTAGCTTTAATTGAACTAGTGCAACCATTCAGCAACTATCTCAACAAGGGATAATTACAGAGGGTGAAAGTGTCCTATTTTCTTTTTAAATTACACTTCATCTCTGCCCATAACCCTTTTTAAATGAAATTATTACAAAAGAACATATATAATTTTCTTGATTGATTTTCATTATTAGAGAAAATAAGTTGAATATTGTCCAGGAGGAAATAAATTGATGACCTTGAACGTGATATCGTGACCTTGACCTTCAAGCTTATTATTAGATATTTCCAATGAGGCTTTTGCTTATTTACATTCGTTATGCGAAGTTTTTCAGAGAATTTCAAAAAATTGTGGTAGTATACATTTCTTGAACAATCCTATTTTACGCGGGTAAAATAACATCGTATGAGTAGTCAATAGTAATTCAAAGAAATTGTTTTGTTGTTTTGTATCCTGTGGGCATATGTGGTAGAAGTTGAAATATTATTTTTACAGGTGAGAAAAATCATACACATACTGGCATACACTTAAATACTTACATCTGCACCTGCACGCGCACCCGAACGCATACGTACACACACACCCACTTTGATTTCCATTTCTGAAGTCGTTAATAATATTCCTGTAGTAATATTTTAACCACCGTCTCGATTTAACCGTTTTGCATTTGCACTTTTGTATAGGTATACCATTTTATTTATTTGTTCATTTTACTAGTCAGTTTGTTGTTTGTATCCTATTCAGTAACTGGTAGGTACAGAACTAAAACATCTAGTTATTCTTTTTTATATGAAGCTTTTAAATAAAAAAAGCACATTGTAGATACCCTCAATGGTAAATTTCTACTTTCTTTGCAGATGCTGATTACTGCATTCGATAGTAATTAATGAAGAAAACATATTTTTTTAATGGAACATGAAGTATGAAATGGATTATGAATTATTTATTTATTTATTTATTTAATCATTTTTATAATGAATAAAATGACTGATATAAGTGTGTTGTTTTGTTTTCTTTTGTGATTTAATTAAGTTAGTGACTAGTTAATTTTTCAGAATTTCAGTAATGAAAGCTAATATACTCTTTTAAAAATTTGGACTAAAAACTAAAATAAAAGATGGTCGATACAAATTGATTTAATTTTTTCGGCATGTATACTGACTATATGAAGTATAATGGATAAAACAGCCCACCAAAATAATCTTCGAGTAGTTACCAGGAATGCTCAGAGCATTAGAGGTAAATTGACTGAATTCAAACACTTCCTTTGAGGAACAGTCAATCGGTGTTGTCTGAATTACCGAAACCTCCTTATCTCAGAAACTCAAACTTTTCGTTTCAAACTTCACATCCCATAGAAGGGTCCGTAAAACCTCCCGAGGTGGTGGTGTAGCTATCTTCGTTAGGAATTCTTTAAAATACAAGCCCATCTCTTTGGTCACTAATTCATTAAAAGCAGTGGACATGGAAATCTCGTTAAGTTCCGCCCCCTCAGAATCATTTCTCTTTATTCTGCCCTCATCTAAACAAAACTTTTCCGATTTACCCCACCTTCTTCCAGCAAACTTCTCGACCATCGTCTCGGACGATTTTAATGCCTAACACACCTCTTGAGACTGCTAACCAACTAACAGAGAAGTCACTCCTCTTCCTGCCAAAATTTACGACCTCAACCTCACCGTCGAAGCGCCCTCAGATCCTACGTATCTAACTATTTCCCACAATCAACTTCCTGATATTCTTGACATCTTCGTCGTAAAAAATCTAACTCTTTCGGTCGATTCCATCGGCTATCCAACCCTCAATACCCAAATCTAACCACTTCGCTAGACTGGCTATGTCTCCGGTACACTCTTCAAACATCTTCCTTTAAGTGCACTTCAATTCGCACAATAGCGGAACTCGACTCTCGAAGCTGTCAATCTCTTTTCAACCGACCTCCACGACTTCCCGCCTCCCTTCTCACTTGCCGTCCCATTTCTCGATCCTTACATCTCTTTACGTGGATGACGTAGCACTCATAAATTCCTCTCAAACCATTCTCCATTGCTGCAAGTTTCTGCCCCAGCTCTTAAATTGGTATCGAGTATGGAAACTCTCCATTAGCGAGGTCAAGTCGGAAGCAATTTTCTTCACCCATAGGATTCGAAAACTTCCCACCATCACCGTGACGGGGCGGCTGTATCAAATGGAGCAACTCCGTTAATTCCTTCGGCATCTTTTTTGACAGAATACTGACATGGCGAAAACACATACTTGCCGCTCGTGTTAAAGGCCCTAGCCGCCTTTATCTCCTTCAAGCCCTTCTTCCAAAATAGCTCCATTCTCCCATTAAACAAAAATCCGTGCGTTCAACGTAATTGTCAGAAGCATTTGCTCCTATGCCATTCCTATTTGGGGCTATACCGATTCCCACCGCCTACAAATTTTTCAAGGTACTAACTACTACTGGTTCATCGGAAATACCCAAATTCTAAAAGAAATAGGTCAAGCTTAAGCCCCTGAGAATGCAATAAATTTCGCGGCAAATATTACTGTCAGGCCACCCAAACCTGTCCATCTAGACACTTGCTACCCTGCTATCTTCTACTCTGAATTGCTTCCCTTTCGCTCATTCCTTGTTTCGCTTTTTTAGCGCGAGTGTCTACCAACTCATCCGAGGACCACCGATTTCTCTTTTTCACTCAATGTTTCCTTTATTACATTCAGTTTCCTTCGCGCTCCCAACCTCTTCCCATTGAACCTTCCCTGAGATGTATAACCTTCGGGTTGATGTCCGTATTCAAGGAGGGGTTTTAGTTGGTAGGCGGTTTAGTCGGTGGGTGCCTTCTTTCCTTTCCTTTCCTCTAGGAAAAATTAAACAAACAAAAAAGGCACACATCTGTTGGTTGGGATATAGACAGCGACTGATCTAAGACCACTAGTGTTTGAGGAGGTAAATTTATATGAATCTTTGAGGTCAAATTGTTGATTTTTAATTTATTATGTAAAATAAGCTCCGCTCTCATTTACAACAATATACCCTACCAGGGTTTTATTTTACTCTAATTATATTGCGTGTTGTGAAGATATCTATTAATTAACATTCGTCGATGTTTCCAGTATTGTGTCCAGACTGTCCCGCATAGACAACGACACACGAAGGACCAGTGTACTCGACACGTTGGAAAACAGCTACATTTAACTACTATCAGTGCATACTATAATTAAGGGTTTATAAATTAGCATATATGTCGCAAAAAAAAAAATAATTTGAGTTATTATGTTTATTTGCAAGGAGATAGTTAAGTTCGTTGTTTTCCTAATTACTTAAAATGATTAAATAAAAGCCTCTTACCTGTACTCTAAATCAAGCCATTAACAGTTAACGGAACTGCATGACTGTCGTTAGGGCAGTGATTATTAAACGGAAATATCTATCAGATTATGATAAAAGTTTATTGAACTGACAATAAAGCTCATAAAGTTCCTTTAAGTACCAATATAACAAACAACGCAAAAACAAAGAGAAAGATTGAAGTGATTTACCAAAATTCTAATTAGTCTGTTATGAATCAACACAAAACATCGGTTTTGTCTATTATGTAACTTATTGAAGTAATTAATAGCTTTTTCTTTTTTAAAGCCAGTTAAGTGGTTCTTAGTTTGAAAGTGAACCAGTTCTTAGTTGAAGAGTTATTATTCAATAGGTCATTTACGAACGACAAGGAAAGTTTATTACAATTAGTCATTATCTACTTTAATTCATCGATCTGCAGGAAAACGTAGATGTTAGCCTCAATCTCAAAGGAGATTTCGACAGCGATGAATTGATTGTGGTTTAATGTGTTTCAGGGTCAGAAAAAGGCATTCTTACGATCGAAGGCCACTTTAAATGTTGGTAAGATGCCAATGTAAAGGATTACGTTTGATCATCTTAGAGCGCATTTTCTTATTACGGCGTAGAAGCTTTTTTGAACATATACATATCGAAATTTTTAAAATAGAAGGCAAAAAGAGTCTCTAATTCAAAATAATTAAACGAGATATTATTTTTGTAAGTAAAAAATTCAGGCGAACCTCCGCTGCGGATTGATGTTACCCTTTTACATATGACCAGAAAAATAATATCAGACCTAAGAGAACACATTGTCAAACTGCTGAAACGCTCTGAGCTTGTTGCGAAGCCCCTGAATGTTTTCATAGTAAATTATTAAATTCCCTGCAGGAGAGTATTCGGGCTTTTTGGTTTCCTTGGCCGCCTTCTTGAATCCAAAAGAGCCATATATTCCTTTTGAACTAAGTTGGCCAGTTGGATGGGCTGCGTTGTGCTTAGTAAGTACATCATAGGTAAGACCAATCTACTTTCTCTGGTTTTGTACCAATTTTTTTTTATTGTTTCTATCCTGAGTATTTTCACATACTTACTTCATTTCGATAAGCAGTAGCGCTGACTTCGATGTCAGTGACTTTGTTAGATAAAGTAACCAAATCATTTGCACAACTACCTAATTCTAATTTCGAATCCTACTCAGTCGGTTGTTGTTCTATAGCAGTAAATCTTTTCATGATTGATACTTTGATATTCTCTATAGGTACTATACTCTGAAAGTGGTATAGCTTATGGGTTACTGTGACAGTTCGCTGGCCTGCCCATCCTCAGTCCTTTCTCGTGCTATTTGAGGTCATTCTTCGTGCGGAAGACCGAAACGTCGTGCTCATGCTTGTAAAAATGTGTTTTGTTTGACTTCTAAGTATCCTTGGAGGTCATTCTTCAGCCATCACCCCTTTTTAAAATACAGTAGATTTTTTGTAACCTTAATTAGAGGAGAAGCATGTCAATGCTTGCCCAACGTTGTTGAACTTTGGCCTTCTAAATATTTTGTGATGTAATTGAACTTTGGTCTTTTGAATTTTTTTGTAGATAAGAGGAAACGTTACAAAACAGGATTGAACTTGCATAGATTTACTGAGAGTGACTACGTTAGGATTAGAAGAGTTCAAGTTTTATCATTGTCTGCTTTGAATAACATACTTTTTTATTTCATTATATAATTTACTTTAATCCAACTATTATATTTATTATTAAAACCTAACTATTTGACATAAACTTTATCCCTATTTCGTTTTAAATATAAATCAGGATATTTAATTTTTAGTAATTGTTGTTGATAAAATCCTCCTAATATATCTTGTCCATTATAATCTTGCAGTGTATACGTAACAGGGTTTGTTAACTTTTTCAACTGTAAAAGTTTCTGTTGCGAATTAGGCTGATATACTTTATGAAAGGCCCCTCGTACTTTGAAAATTCCGACACGATCGCTTACTTTAAATTTAGAACTTTTATTAACTAATTTTATATGATTATACACGGTTGATAATAAAAATTTCTCATCTCTTTTAGTTTTAGGTTTCATTAGTATTGTTTTATTTTTTCTATTATTGTACTGGTCAACTACATCGTCTAATATATTAATCCACTTGTAACTCCCATTTAAACAAACGTTTCCACATGATATTTTTTAATGTTCTATTCACTCTTTCAACAATTGTAGCTTTTTTCTCACTGTATACATTGTAATGATTAATACCATACTTTTCCACCATATTTTTAAGCTCTTTATTAAAAAATTCAGTTCCTTGATCAGTTTGTAAGTTTTTAGGTGTTTGAGTTTTGCTTTCGTTACATCTCGAGATGATTTAGTTTTAATCGGATAAATCCATACGAATTTTGAAAAACAATTTATAACTATTAATATATGTTTGTAACCTTTGCTTTCCTTAGCATACGACATCATTTCAACAATATCAGCTTAAAAAAGATCATTTAACAATTTTAAAATAATTCTACGTCGATTAAAGTTTATTCGTGCAGGTTTATGTATCTCTTCTACAACTTGCTTTTTTGCTTCGGCGGACATGACTAATTATTTTATAATGGTTACTTCTTG